AAAAAATATTTTAAAACCTGCTGATTACTTATAGTATAATTAAATTTCAATATAATGCATGGCAACTGTTGGTAGTTTTGAAGTTTATATATTTTCTTGGCAAACTTCAGTTTTTGACATTTTTGACGGGTTTTTGACGGTTTAAACCAGTATTATACCCTTGTCATGTCAAAAACCACTTTTTGACGTCAAAAACCAAACCCTGGTTTAAATAAATTTAAATAAATGATATGCATTTAAAAAACTGTAGAATTCCCTATAAAATATTGAAGATTTCTTAAGATTTAATTATTCAGTTTTTCAGTTAATGGTGAATCATTTTAAGTTTGTATAGCTATTTCTTGGCAATTTTAGCATTTTGAATTGAAGGAATTGAATTTTATTTTTTCCCCAAGGAACTAGATAAGAACGTTAATGATTTATTACATATAATTATATTATAATGCAAACTTCAAATGTGGTTAGCATGCTGCCTTATCAAAGATTATTTAAAAGATATAATTACAGGAAATTATCTAGATAATGGGGAAAAGTTGTATGAGTAATTTATAAAGTCTATGCCTATTGATTGCCTTCTAGACCCTAGATATTTATGCATATTAATACTGATCTTTCATTAATATTTTCTTTTCACTTGAATTGTTGTGTAATTGTGTTTTAGTTAGTAAAATGTAAAATAGTTTTCTATTTACTTAAATCTCTGCTTACCTCATGCTTACTTAAATTGAATAGTTCTTTTGTTTTTTTAATTTAATATTTATCAATTTATAAAAGTTAAAGGGAACTTGAATATTTATAAGGCTAATTCAATCTTCATGTTAACATTTAGGAAATTAGTGTACATTGAGATATTTTTAAAATCATGATCAAACTTTCTTTACATTTTTTTCCATTTGCAATTGATTTTCATATTTTTTACTTTAGTTTAATCATAAATTACTATTAAAGAAAAAGTATTAATAGACTAAAAAGAAAATTGTGATTAAGAAAGATAAAGTTTTGGTATATTGTGGTTCAAGAAACACTGCACATTTGATTGTACTATACTTATTAAATTAGCACAAAATAGATTATTGATCATGATCTCAATTTAGGTTATTCTGCTTCAGCTCCTCAAAGTCAATCTGCATATTCATCATCTGGTTATGGGTCTTACGGTGGTTCAGCTCCTACTGGATATGGTAGTCAACCACCAAGTGGTAGTGTAGGCTCTTCTGCAGCTCCTCCAGCTCCTGGGTATGGTGCTGGAGCTCCTCCTAGTGGTGTATCTTCAGTACCACCGATTGGCGGGCCGCCCTCTCAGGCTCCTCCTGGACATATGCCGCCCCCTCCTAGTGGCTATGGTGGTCCTCCTCCCAGTGGGGATTATAACCGACCTCCTGGAGGCTATGGTGGCTCTGCACCTCCCGGTGGCCCTGGTTCAATGAGTACTAGTGGTGATGGATATGGTGGTCCTCCTATGGGTGGTTATGGTGGCCCTGGTGGTGGGGGTAGAGGTGGATTTCAAGGTGAGTTACAATTATTAATCTAATATTTTTTTTCTAATTGAAAAAACAAGTGTTTTGTTCTTTATTCTATAACTAAATGCTATTGATTGTAGGAGGCCCTGGTGGTTATGATAGAGGAGGCCGTGGCGGAGGTGGAGGATATGGGTATGTGTTACCCTTTGATTGTTTGAATAAGCTTATTTAATTTTATTTCAAGTAATAAGGTATGCACAACCAATTTATTATAGTAACCTGTGAGAATTTCACCTTTTCATCACTTGTTCCAAATCTTTGTTATCTATGCATTGTTTTTCGTATGTTTTATTTCACCTTTGTCTCTTTGAGTAAAATAAATTCTTACCCTCTTTATTTCAACAGAAATATTGCAAATCAGCTTTAACTAAAATTATTTTCACTTTGCATGTAAAAAAAAATGCCAAATACCATTACTCTTGGCTAGATATTTATACCTTTGTGTTACATAGGTAGTGTCACATATTTAAATCCTTAAAGAAGTTCTTTTATAAATTTTAGTTATTAATTACCAAGTGGTATACATATGTTAATAATTTTTTAATATTCACGTAAATATCCTTAATTCAATGTAAATAAAGGTTGTGCATCCTTATTTTATCTTTTTATCCTCTGTCACTTAATCTTAACTTATTAAATGTCAACTGTATTATTTAAAAAGTGTGCAAGTTCTTTCTAGGAAGCTTTTTTGAAAAGTAATTTCAAAGCTCAAAATAATGTGTTTTGTTTGCTCGCCGTAATCTTGACAAGTGTTCTTGGGATTAGGTTTAAAAAGTTATGTGTGTACATGAAAAAATTAATATTCACCACTTATTTGACAAAGTTTGTCTGTTGCTATGGTCTGGTTTTAAAGCTGAATTTGGTACTATAGGTTCAAAGTAAATAATTTTTAACATATGCACAGTTTCATGGTTGTATTAAATTGGTCTGTTTCTTTAAATAACAAGAAGCTAGTAGAATGGCTTTTAAAATTTTTGTTAGGTTTCAAAAGTCCTATGTGTGTACTTAAAAAATTAGACTTTCTACCCCCTATTTTTTGACCAAGTCCGTCAGGTGCGAAAAATGGTTTTAAATCTGATTTTGGTATTATAGGTTAAGTAAATGTTTCTAAACATTAGTGTGTGCACAGTAATGGCTATCTGGTCCATTTGTTAAAATGTGCTAAAATTGCTTTTAAAGCTTTTTATCTATTTTAATGGTTTTGACTGCATTAAATGGATTAAAATATAGAGTTTACAAATTTTTGCTTATTGTGTAGTGAATAAGCTTGGGAGATATTCAAAGAGTATTTCAGTTCTTTCGAGTGGTGTTGATTATCATGCATTAAAATAAATCAATGGCTTTACTGAATAAAGGCTATTGACAGTTAAATTACTGAGGCATTTCAAAAATTTCCATATTGTATTATGGGAAGGCTTAGCTTGGTACATGTTCCAATCTTCGATCTGATAGTAAAGAGGTTCAAAAGTTTCAAATAAAGTCCGAGAACAAAGAGTAAAAATTTCTTGGACAATTGAAGGTTGAAATACTGGTTTGTATTAGGTAAGTTTTTGTTAAAATAACTTTTGGTTCCTTTTTTTTTTATTAAAAGTTTTTATCAAGTCTGGGACTCATCTAATATATATGTTAATGTAATAGTTTTTATTGAATGAAGACATTGAAATTATCTGGAAAAATTTTATAGGGTCCATTGAAAACTTATAATTTACTAAGATTAATAATTTTTATATTTATCATTATTTCATTTGAACGTCAAAATTTTCTCATAAGATAGTAGTACTTTGATTTTAGTTTAATAAGTAAAGTTTCTTTGTCATAAGTTCTCACATTAGTAAGTTAAGAGTTAAAAATATTTTTATTTAAAGGGTCACTGCACCTCAAGTTTAAAATAAATAAAATTTCTAACTTACATTGATGAAGCTTAATAAAACTTGCATTTCATGCTCCTAAATTCATTAATTTTGAAATTTGAACTTTTATATTTTGATTTAAATTGATAATTGCATTTTTTAAAACTATTTTTGAATAGATTTTTATTTTTTTTTATAATTATAAAACCAATTCTTAAAATTTTTTAACACAATATTATATATGTTGATTGTTCTTGTATGACTGGTATTATTTTTTTTAATAAATTCTGTAGCAAATTTTAAAAGTACATTTTTTAACAGGGGTCTATTCATTTTTCACATAGTCTGTTAGTAGAAATCTTACAAATAAATCTTTAAAAATATTAAAATCGTTACAAGTTATTCTTTCATTTTTTCTTCATGGCATTTTTTATTTTTAAAAGCTTATCCTCTATTTTTTAGAGCCCATGGAAAAGTTCAAGAACCACATTTGGTTCAAAATAGACCCCTGGTTTATTGAATGCAAGTGTACTATAAAGTTTTGCAGATATTAGTTAAGCTTTTATGTACATGTTTATTATTTAATTTCAAATAATTCTTTTGCTCTTTTTACTCCTACCATGGGATTTGTTGTATTTATTCTGTAAGGTGTTTTTATGCATATATCCATTTAATTGAAGTGTAATATACGTGAAGTCTTCTTGAAGTTGAAGTTATGAAGTTCACTTACTGAATCTACTTCGTTTTTAGTAACAAAGGTCCTGGAGGTCGCGGAGGTTTCAACAAAGGTAATGGTACCAAAGTGGTCCATTAAAAGTTTCTTATCTTTATTTTTTTTTAAGCAGTTTAACTGTTAATGTCATTTTTTATATTAGTTAAAAAGTGTTTGATTTAGTAAGATTTTTTTTTTCTTTTGGTATCTGCAGTATTTTATTTTTGCTGGAAAGAAGCTGTTTTGTTTTATAGTCATTTGGTTCCATGTGTTACTCAGTCCCCACATTCTTTGGGGTAATTTTATTAAAATATTCTCAAAAGTATTTGATATTCAAGCTTTTAATGTTCATAAACTTATTGCCTTTAAGCCGTTTAAGTTAAGGTGGCCCTTCTTTTTTTTTATAGTGATTTAGCAAGTATAGATCTTCTATAAGAAATCAATTTTTATTAATATTACACAGTATATTGGTTCCAATCTTTTTTCTTATTGTTTCGCCAAAGGGTTTTGTAGGGTTTGATAATAACAAGTTAAAAGGTTTTAAAAATTTCAAATAAATGTTTTCTTTTAAAAGTTAAATGTGTATTTTGTTCATTTTTGTGGTTTTATTTGAAGAAATTTTAAATCTTCTTAAAGACCCCCCCCCCCCCCAAAAAAAAAAAATATTTGCAATTGACTCAAACCAAGTAGTGTTTTCTGAAGGATAAGTTCCTTATTTGCATAATCTTGTACATTTCTGTTACTGATTTTTTTGGTACATTTTTCCTGACTAATTCTAAAATAAAAAGTTCTGTCAACAAACAGATGGTGAACCATTAAGAAATATGTGCCTGCACAAGGTGTGTGACAGGCATACAAATACTTAAGCTCTTAATATGTAATTTTTTTTTTTAAATTTATTTATATGGTGTGGTAATTAATATTCATATTATTGATCTTGATATTTTTAAAATTATCAAAAAACATGAACAAATTGTGTTCATTCTAAGTGGATTGTAAGATTTTTAACAGCCCTGAAGAACAAACATGACTTAAAGTTTGGTCTGGATTAACCTGAGTATTTTTTCCCGTTGTGTTATGTAAGGAGAAAATTCCGAACTTTGCTTGAAACTTATGGCATAAACAGAGTCCTAGTTTTAAGATATATGAAAAAATTAATTACTCATAATTTAGGAGCAGTTTTTTAAAAATTTTGTTAAGAAGAGCAACTAAAAACATCCAATACCAGTGTTTTCATCATAGGAAAAAAAATGGATGAGAATTTCTCACCCTTTCTCAAAAACAGGGTGAGATTTGAAAAAGTTGAGTGAGATTTCTAAAAACTAAAAAAACACAAACTCTTGGGGGAAAAAATAATTTCTTTAATTATAATACATTTTTAACGTCTTCTATTTTTTAAAGCATTGAATATTTTTGGTGCATTATCATAGAAGATTTCGCCTTTACAAGATATTTGTCCGTCTTACATGAAGTAACCTTACCTACGGTAAACACGTGGTTGCAGAGAAATGTGTTTTGAAAGGGGTTACGTGATTGTGTTCTGTTGTTCGAAAAGGTTCTGAANGATATTTGTCCGTCTTACATTAGTGCGTAAAAAATTTTAATGTCTTACATGAAGTAACCTTACCTACGGTAAACACGTGGTTGCAGAGAAATGTGTTTTGAAAGGGGTTACGTGATTGTGTTCTGTTGTTCGAAAAGGTTCTGAACAACACTGGTAAATAGGGAAGCTAGATAACGGGGCAGATGTTGAAAATAATGAAAGATCCAGGCAGAAAAGTGAAACGGATTTTATTCTAAATGGCGTAATTTAAAGCTTTTTCCAAAATGCGAGAACTTTGCGAATTTTGAAATTGATTTATAGAATGCGCGAATTCCTCTCGATAGTAATTTTTTAATGCAAGAATAGAAAAAATATGAGAGATTCTCGCGCTGTAGTGAAAACACTGCAATACCATTAATATTTTGAGGTTGTTTGATTAAAGTTTAGCAAACAGAACAAAGTTTATGATAATGTGTTATTGTTTCATTATTCATTAAATTATTTAAAGTTAACATATTAAAAATTGTGTTGAGTTTTAAGGAAACAAAATTGCAGTATTTAAGAAATAAAGAGAAGTATACCATGGCATATTCAACAGATTTAGCAGCTGTATGTTTGTGGATTTTTGATTTAACATTTCGCTAAGTTAAGGGTTTTCCTGATTATTTCTAGCTGGTCTGATTTTTAACCTTTTGTATTGCTATTCAGAATCTATATCTACGAATACAGATTATATATATTTTAAAACAATCAATTAGAAGTAAAATTACAAAATTCTGTAACATTAAGGATCTTACGCTAATTATATGTTTCGGGCATTGTGCTTTGCCTGCAGGCTTTGTTGTTCTATAAGCTTTTATGGACTTATAATCTCGAGTCATTTTATGACAAAATAACTAAATATTTGTTATCAAATTTTTATGGTTATGGTTTTAGGGGTCATTCACTTATTTATATTTTTCAATAAATGTAATACTTGTTAAATGGAGTTATGTAATTTTACAATTATTAATAGTTTTTAAACTGGGAACTGATAAAGCATTCACTAAATTACATTAGTAAAAAATGTCAAGCAACATACTTTGTGTTGCAAATTTTATATTAAATATTGAAATGTGAGTCAAGGCCAGGGTATGGCATAAAATAGATCAGAACATCCCATTTTCTACAAAGCGGATTGTAAAATAATTTTGTGATTTGAAAGTTTGGATTTTCTAGCCAACCTCTTTTTATTTTAATAGTGCAAGCAAGAACCGAAAAGTTTAAATAAGTAACGAACCAAATATTTATCAACGTGGTTCATTATTTCAGACTTTTGGGGTAAATTAGTCATTGAACTAAGTTAACAATTTGACATATAAGAATTTTAATTGTAATGAATTTAGGGAACATATGTTTTTATTTTCAGAAAATACTATAAATCTTATTGGGAAAGGTTGTATTTCACCTTTCATTTGCTTTCATCTGAATTCAGAGATGATTCCGCCCAACTAACTCTACTGTATTTATATCTCCGAAGTTTTAAATTGACAAATTATCTCCAGTTATTTTTTTGTACCACACACACACGAATATTTCGTGACGAAATATTACATAACTTGTATTCTTGAAAAAATTAAGGCTCGGTTTTAAGATTTTAATTACAGTTGTCTTGAACTCTATTACAGATTTAAGTTAAATATTAGTGTGAAAGAATGTTACTGGTTTTTTTAAAAAGAAAAAAAAATTTCTAATGTAGCAGTAATTTCTAAAATTTTGTTCCATTCATGAAATTTTTTAAATTAAATGTTAATAACTTTAAATTTTGCAATTTTCTAACAGATTCTTCCCTTTTAATCAATTGATGCATCTAAAAAGTGTATATAACTTATTATTTTTCTTAATTTTCTTTGTTAACCTTTTTTCGTTTAACCTTGTGTTTATTGTATTTTTTATATATATATATATATATATATGTGTGTATGGGGAATATAAATTCTCATCCAAAAAAAAAAAACTAATGCTCACAGAATGAAATTGTAAAAAAAAATATATACATGTTTTAATTAAAGAAAATTTATAGAGTTGAAACTAAAATTTAAGCAAAACCATTATAATAACAGAAGATTAAATGTTTGTTTGGTATTATATTGTAGACATTATTTCTATTTCTTAAATTATTAGAAGTTTTATGAATTTCAAATAGGTAACTTTTTCATTTTGTATTTCCCTAAAAAATCACCTGTGCTTCAAAAAGTTTAAAACAAAACAAATTACATTTTTCCCCAGTTTACGAATTTTTTAGATTACAATAACAGTATTAAAATATCTTGATTCTATATACTACGTTCAAATGCATGGTGCTGACTGCCCCCCCCCCCCCCCCCCC